CCGCCGCACGCGTTAGCTATTGCCCGCAGCACTGCAGCGCCGCAGCGCCAGGGTGGTTGGTTTTGCCCGACATTTGTGTCTGTTCGGGGCAACCGGGTTTTGCGCCGCGCTGTTAATAGTTTGTGAGGTTTGAGAGATGAGTAGAAATCCACAGCAGTTAGCCGTACCACGCGCGAGGTAAGAGGTGCTAAATAGCACATGTGTTTACTCAACGTGGTTGTGGTTTGATTCGTTCACTCGCAAGCCACAGGGCCAACAAGTAGGTCCATTCCCTTGACTTGTTTTCTCTCTCTCCATACAGATGGCGCTCGCACGTAAGAACTTGGGCCATTTCTTGCGGTTGTCTTTTTTATGATCATTTTCTTTTTGCCTTCTCAAAATAAGACAACTGGCCGTAGAAGGTCTTCTTCTTACGATGTCTTTTCCCCCCCAAAAAAATCGCCAGCAAAAGACAACCTGTTTTGGACAGCCCATCCTGTCTTTTTTCGGGGCAGTTTTGGATAACCTGGGGCTGTCAAAAAAGAAGGTTGCCTTTTTTGGTCACAACCACGTCAATCACTCGTACCTACAAACTTGAATCTCTCGATGGCTAATCCCCGCAAACTCTAACAGTGGTCACACTAGTTGCGTCATGTGGCTGGTACAGAGTCGGTAGCACCGGCGGGAGCCATTGTTTTTTCAGTGGGCGGGAGCAGGTGGACAACCCTAGGTGTGCGGCAAGTAATAACCGGCAAACAAGCCGAGAGAGCCTGGACGCAGCAGCAGCGGTGGGTCATTTTTCGTGTACTGCTGTCAACCTTGTGGACCCAACTTCTGGGCGTCCTTTAGCCTTCTGGTCTGTATCAACCATCACACAAGACGAACCATACACGCAGCTGATGGCGCATACCTTCGTCATCGCTGTTGCTTGAGTGGGTGGCGCGGGAGTACTGGCAAACCAAAGTTGCGACACGGGCAAAAGAGCGAAAAAAGCTGCTTGAAGATGCGGCGGATCATTTTTCCCGCTTGTCCACCACTCTCGCGCTCGCAATTCCTGAGCGCCCTACACCAAAGCATCCTGGTCTGTATCAGCCACCACACAAGACGGACCATACACAGAGCTCGTGGCGCATACCTTTGTCATCGCTGTTGCTTGAGTGGGTGGCGAGGGAGTACCGGTGAACCAAATTGTTGACAGGGGCAAAAGAGCAAAAAAATGGTTGCTAGCGTGGTGGGCATTTTTTCAGCGTGCTGTCGACTCTCGGCACCTCCGGCCCCGTGCCTCCTATCGCCCTGTGGTCTCTATCAGCCGCCAACCAAGACGGACCATACACAAAGCTCGCGAGGGATAGCTTGACAGTAGGCGCTTCTTCACTCTGTGAGGAAATATCACTGAAAAACCATTTCGGTGGGAAGGTGCATGCATGTGTGACAGCACCCGTTGCAGTCATTTTTTTGGTCGGTGAAAAAGGATCGACCAGCCAGCACCATACGAAGGGGGTCATCTTTTTTGTAGATCCCTTCTGTTGTTGTTGTTGTCTTCACATTAAAAACCATCCCGGTCTCTCTATCCAGTACCTCCTTCTGTCTCAATCTCTCCGTACTAATCCAGCACTTGACTCGGTCAATTTCCGTGGTCACAGGCTAACGTACCTAGAAAAGGTATACCAAAATAAAATGGACCCCAAGGGTTAGCAGAGCGATAAAACACAAGAAAACAAATAAATAAACAAATAGTGGAACGTGCGCACCACCAGCCTGGGAGGTAGCCTTCCGGAAGGACCCCAAGGGTCGACAGTA